GTTGGCTGCTAATGTGCATTTAGTTTTGACTACCGAGTACACACTGACCATCAGGAGAGCCAGCCACTAGTTCTGTGGAACAGGCCAGGTCCTTGGCACCATTCACCGGGATGGGTCTGGCAGTAGAGAAGGGAAGCAGACTGTTGTCACCAGCAGTGCCAGAGACTACAGGGGGGGTCCAACGAGGTATGTAAGTTACTCCTTCTTCCTCCAATTCCCTGAGGTAGTACTCAATAATTTCTTTACCCTACATCACAGGAAGGAGATGAGACTTCGGGTTAATGCGACTGTCAGGGGATGCTATTGTAAAAATCAGGTAGAGCAATGCAGCACAAATACTTCAGGCAAATGCAACTGAACCTTCCACAGTTTTGGGTCCAGTTCCACACATGTACTGTACACGTAAAAGATAAATAAAAATGCAAACCTTTTGAATGTTACTAGCATACTGTTTCATAGCTATCTTCTCTGCTGTGCTCTCAAAGCCAAAAAAAGACTTGATGTCCAGACTCGCTGTCTGTTCAAAGCATGTCCAGTCCTCATTGTCTGGATGAACCTATGGAAGAATAACAAAAATGTATGGTGGATACAGAAAACTCTACTCAATGTTACTTGCTATGTCATGTGTTTGTCAAGACACAATCCTAACAGAAGTACTGTATATTTAAAAGTAGCCATTCCACATATAAAAAGCAGTACATAAGCCTTTACATGATACAAGATTTGTAGTCATTATAAAAGTAAATAAGGGCAAAGTGAAAGAATTCAACTGACCGATGACCCTGTGTCGTCAGTTCTAATGTGGCAGGTACAGTGAGGTTAGGATCAGGAAAGTCAAGGAATATTTAGCAGAATCAAAGGTAGGGCTGGTGATTCTTTACAGAAGCATTTCTGTTACAAGGAGCTTGAATTTCTCTTTTCATCCTGAAGGCAATGAACACATTTTATGCATTGACAACATAAAGAACAAAAATCATCTTCTATGGCAGCAGCAGGGCTACAGTTAACTTGGCATCAAAGGCCACAGGCAGAGTTCATGTTACCAGGATGGAATAAAGCTGAACGGCGTCAGCCGGCCTCCCTCTTCACGGTCAAAGGTCAAAGTGTTTATTTGTCATATGCACAGTTAGGAAACGCGTTTCTCTGTACAATGAAATTCTTACTTTGCCGTCCACATGAATGCCACAAAATACAAATGAAATATAAAGTAGATAAATAAGTAACACAAAATCTAAGGCACTTTAAGCAGCAAATGCAGCAATATAATAAAAATATATACGAATATAACAAAGAATGGTATGCTGCATGGGAGCAGCATGTTTACTAATTTTTGTTCTGTTGCTAATTCTGGGGAAACTGCATAAATAGTGTATGCATTATTAAATGTTATAGAGAATATGTCTGTAAATGCTCACACACACACATAGTAACACATGTGTTCATTTGGAGGCCAATATTCATTCACCTTATCGCTCTGTTTTTGGTCTCTACCCACCACTGTCCCTTTAGTTGCCAAACTTGCTGTTTCTTGACACAGCTGCCAGGTCTGCCTCACTAACTTACATCCAATACTAATGCATGCTTGCCATCTCTGTATGTGTCTGTCTGATGTTTAGTGTTTTAGACAGGTGGATTTATCAGTTTTTAAAAGGAAAACAGATGTGCTGCTGCTGCTGCTGCTGGAGACAAGATGGGGAGATTCAACAGAAACACTAAACCAGAACAATGAGTCTCGAAGATACTAAAACATCACAAACAGTGCTTTTGTGTTATACATATTTCATCACGGTTTATGTAAAAATATTAAGAGGTTGAAAACCACATTGGTATCTGTAATAAAATTAAAAAAAAACATCACTTGTTTGGTCAGACAGTTTGCAGAAAGTTCTCTTTGAGTCTCTAACATAAGCATCTGCACTTAGCAACAACACATTTAGAAAGGAACTGTTGATTTTTTTTTCTGTTACTCTTTCTGAGGCAGTCTCAGCTTTGATTTATGACAACAAAATGTCAGAATTTTATCATTAAAATTTGATTCAGTATGTAAACATTTGCCAGTTAGTGAGTTAAAATGAAATGTTACCATGGCATTTGGTGCAGCTGTCTCGAAGCAGCCAGTGTTATTAGAGATGGCTACCTGCATGGATAACACAGGTCACCTTTTGCTGTGAGATGATGGATGTGGAAGTGGCATCAGCCCTCAGGTGACATGGGTGATGGACTCTTTCTTATTAAAGGGCTAATGGGAGAGAAAGTTGTGAAAAGGCATCAGTTGTTAGCCACTGCAACAAACAAGGTCACTGAGGTCACAAATTAACCAGCTTCTCTTTCATCTCCAGCTCCTTTATGTCTTTGCTTTTTATTCTTTACTTTGGTTTCTCTGTTCACTCGCTAAGCCTTCTGATTTTCTTCCATCCTTCAGGCCTGTACAAATATTAAAATCATTACAATATGGTATTAAATATTTTGCAGCATTTTACTTACCTATTTCAACATTTGTATTTTTGCTCATTTGAAACATAAACATACTGATTTACTATATTTTCATAACAGCTAAGATAATTGACAAAGATTTTAGGATTTAGCACATCTGCTGTTAAAATAATCACTTCAAATTCAGTAAAACATATTGGTGGTCACACCATGCGGCCACATATCGACATAAGGAACGATCAGTGCGTCACCTCAGCTGAATGTGTGGGGTTCTTCAAACAATACACAATTACTGTCTCTTAACACACAGATGTGGATTTCCAAAGAGATATCCAAACCTCTGCCAAAGTTGAAGGAGATGACCTGTAAGAATCTCAAGGTTTTGTTCACGAGTAAGTATAAGATGGTGTTGAATTTGGTCCAGCATCAGAACGCATGCTGCCATTGTCATAATAAAAAGGGAAACTTGAAGGTGAAACTCTCAATTTACCCTGTAGGTTACTTTTATGGTCATGAGCTTAGGATAGCGACTGTGTGGATTCTCACAGCCCACAGTTTCCCTCACAGGATGTCTGTTAGAGCAAGGGTGAAGAAGGCAGATATACTGAAGTAACTTGGAGTAAATCTTGTGTTCTGCTGTCACATTTAACATGCGGTTTTTATCAGCATCTCTGGATAAGGCAAGTCACTTTAATGCAATGAAAATATAACCGGTGTATCATTATCCATAAAATATTGAGGGTAGTTACTCTTGCTGGAACTGTTTCTAATCAATTTATTTAATATATTCCAAGTACCTCTCATGTTATTTTTATTATCCTCTAATACTTTAGAGTAATATTGTTTCTTACATCTCCTCAAAATCTCAATTAATTTGTTCTTATATGACCTATATTTTTCTTCCGCCTTCTTTGATCTGTCCTTTATGAATTCCTTATATAACACATTCTTCTTTTTACATGCATTCTGTAATGCCTTACTCATCCACGGTTTCCCACTGTAATTCCTCTTGTATTTATACTGCTTACGAGGACAGTTCCTGTCATATACTTCCATGAATATATTTAAAAATTGCTCATATGTTTTATCTAAGTCTTCCTCTCTGTAAACTGATTCCCAGTTTTGCCCCATAAAATCCTCTTTTAGCCTCCTTACAGCATATTTGTTCATCACCCTCCTATAAAAAAGATTTGTTTTTGGCCTCTCTTTTCTATACTGGCAGTCATAAACCAAAAATACAGGTAAATGATCACTGATATCATTTATAAGTAATCCACTAGACATTTTGCTATCAATATCATTAGTAAATATATCATCTATTAGTGTTGCATGCTGGGTTGTTACTCTACTTGGTTTTGTAATTTTTGGGTATAAACTACATCTATATATTGTATTAATAAACTCCTCAGTTCCTGTGTGCTTGTTAGGATTTAACAAATCTATATTGAAGTCACCACATATGAACATTAATTTATGACTTATTGACGAGTAATTTTCTTCCAGCCGGTCATTCAATTTTTCTATGCTGGCTCCAGGTGCTCTATAAATACAGCTTATTACAACATTCTTCTTTTTTTCCCCAAAAGTAGTTCTACAGTCACACATTCCAGTAAATTATCAACTACCCTAGACATTTTCTCCACAGGCAGTGTTCATGTTACCAGGACGGAATAAAGCTGAACAGCGTCAGCCGGCCTCCCTCTTCACGGTCAAAGGTCAGTGTTATTAATGCATGCTGCAAGGGAGCAGCATGTGCAGCAGTCAACAGTCAATGTGCAATTATACATGTGCAAACAGAGAATGTAAACAGTACAGGTTGACAGTACATGACGTATTTCCTGATAATAAACTCTAACCTTCACTTCTCCCCACCAGAAAGGTCCAGACTTCTAAAGCTAGTTATCACTATGAACCAGGGCTAAAGTAGCTTAGCAATGAACCAGAGGTCCCCAGCTATGGTTTGTGGCTGCAAATCTGGGTGGGTAACACTGTATTCAAGAAAGTTGCAACTAAAAGGAAGTTGAATACTGCCAGCCATAAAAGTAAAATCAGAATTAAAGTTGATGTGGCTTTTGAATGACAGTGACAGCTGAGAGAACAAAAGGGGCTGATAAATGACGCCATGGCGGCCATATTTCTGCTGGACGGGGAATTACCAGTTTTGTTTTGTTTGGGGGGGATTGCATTTTGCAGTGTGTGTTGTATTTTGGATAGAAGTCAGAAGGATTTTTTTTCTTCAGTGGTCTACTTTCAAAATCAAATTTCCTCTTGCTGTTTTTTCCAGAATCACCAACCCTACCTTTAAGTATTTGGCAGACTGTAAGTGAATCACGACAAATTATTAAATAAAACATTAAATGCAAAATACAGTACAATCAGCAAGATTTATTTTTTATTTTGAAGAGCACTGGCACTATAAAAGTGTTATATACAACAAGTACAACAAATTAAACTCAGAGAGCCTCCTGCTGAGCATCTGATGTTTCACAGACTCACTGTGTAGCTGCAGCACTCGCGGACAATGACTCTGTTGGAAAACGTCTCATTGTGGACCTCAATGTGGAGCGTCCTCTCTCTGCGGTTCAGAGTGTTCTTCTGGATGAAGTACAGGTAGTCTACACCAGCAATCTACATGCAGGAAAAACAATAAGGAATCTGCTCAATCAACATTTTGATGGCTGTAGTTTGTGGTGATTTTGCAATTTACTGAAAGAGT